GAGGGTACAAAAAAAGTTTTTTAAGTCAATGTTCTATAGATGTAAGCATAAATATTGTTCGTATAATGCTATATTAAATAAATACAAAATGTTAACTTTAAAGCTCAGACGACAACAATTAGTAGCAATGTTATTATTTGACCTCTGCCGTAATAGATATGATTGTATTCCTGTAACAAATAAATTGCGATATCGTGTACCTACTCGATCACATGTAATATCAACATGCTCCCGTCAAACATTTACCCTTCCCTTGTTTACAACCAATGCTGGCAAAAGAGCGCCGTTGTATCGCTTAATGCAAAATTATAATGATCACTTTTGGGACATTGACATTTTTAATGACAGTGCTAACTCCTATAGAATCAAAGTGATTAATAAGCTTATGAGTCGTGTTAATTAAAAACTGAATAAAATAAATCAAAACAGAATTTAAATTATAATTGTTTGAAATCAAAACTTAAATGTTAACAGCTTTTTTTATTTTCATTTTGTAATATTGCATATTATGTTGTAAGTCCTCCTTCACATCTCACACTTTTGTTAATTTATCCTATAAATTATTATCTGAGGCTGGTGGTGTGCTTCACTAAATTTAAATTTTAGGATTAAGATTAGTTATTAAGCCTCTGTTGAAGCTGTTTACTGGTCCTAAAATAAACTAAAAAAATGTTTTATACAAGCCACAAAGCGGAAATGTCAACGTTAGTTCAAAAACTCAAACGTCAATCAAATCATTTTTTACGCTTGTTTGGCTCTGAGTTTCAGGTATACAAAAAGTACTCTGTGGCTCTGAGCTTGCGGTGGTATTGAATAATTTCTGTTGTTTTTGTGTGCTGTAATAATATTCTGATCTTTAATGACTCTGGCTACGTATAAAGGATTCTGACGATTTATTTTCTTGAAGAATACATGTGCAAAATGATAATTTAAATAGTGATTTTATAAAAATATCTTTAGGTATTTATCAAATTAAGTAGGCTAGGCCCCATTATGGAGAACACATGCGACAAGATGGGAGATATGAAATAGAAGTGTGTCGAGAAATGGTCAGCAGCCTACTAAGATAACAGTGAATATACAACCATTCTACCTGGCTATTAAGAGGTCAAATGAAATTGAGACATTCAAATCAGATAGCTCAAAAACATATTTTACATATATTTTAGTTGACAGTATTACAGTATTAGTATTAGTACAAACAGTATTATTTTAATTGCTTGGTAGGTAAAAGAACTGTAGGTTGCTGTTGTCATGTAATGACAACAGCAACATACTACTAATATCAGGAGATATGGTACCTAAGCTGGGCAAAGCATCAAGAGAATATAATACGGCATGCACCGTTTTTAGACGATATTTTATTTGTTTATGATGAAGTGGACAATTAATAAATCATTGAAAGAGAAAGTGTTTTAATTCATACTCCCTCTGTTTTTTTAATAATAATTATTTCAAAACTCTAGAAATTAGTTGGACGGCGGCGTCTGAACCCTCTGTGTGTGAATGTCCTACTATATACTTAGAATTATGGTAAAGTCTAGTTTACAATAAAGTCTAATAATTATTTTCTGAAAGTGTAATTCACATTAGCTCGGTGTAAGAATAACATTGTAAGCATAACGTAAGCAATAACATTATTTTGATACAAATCAATAACATCCTACATTTTTTTCCTTCCATGAAGCAGTCGTAAACATTTTAGTTTTTTAAAAATGGTATTGGTATATAAATAAAATAATGCAGTAATCGTTACTGTACCATCAGGTTCAGCTTCCTATAAAGTTTCGCCCGTCTACCTTCTGAAAAATTTAGAATTCCTTTTGATATAGTGCGTAGAGAGTCTTTTATGTTACTGTTGCCATTTTTGGCCTCTTTCACTACCACTCTTAGTAAGTTTGACATGCCTAGATCAGCTTTGTTAATATAATCAACAATATAAACGGAACAAGCAAATGGATGTAGTATGAATGGGAAACCCATATTAACTCGCTGTAATTTTAATACGTTTTTGCAAAATAGGTTAACCACGACATCTTTTGGGCATCTCTGTAAATATATTTTAGGTCGCTTAAATGTTGATCTAATTACCCATATGTATTTTATCAATATTTAATTTATCGATACTAAGTACTCATCAAATGGTTAATGTGGCGGAATATGCACTAAGTTGTCCTTTAAGTTTTTAGATCCATCTTTCCATTATTTTAGGCTTGGATTATCTTCTTCCAGGGTTATCAGAAGACTTGTCTTAGCCTACAAAGACGACTTGGCTTGGTATGACATGAATGTGTTGGTTTGTGAGTCTGTATCTTAACTAAGTCTTCATTTAATTCTTCACTATTGCAGGATATGATTTGGTTAACAAACATTAGAATATTTTCAGTTGACAATTGATCTCCAAAAATGAAGATAGACGTATCTTCTATCGACAATATCACATGGGCATGAGGAGAATCTCTTTTTTGGAATGTTATTCGATTTTATTGATAGTTTATTTACTAAAAGGCCCAACGGGAGACAGCCATGTTCTTTTTCACAGAGGATGGAATAAAAAGTTCCATACCCTGAAGTACAACGCAATGATCGTCTGGAGAGAAGCAAACCCGCCCCCAAGGTTAGGATGCAAAAACGACGGCATCCCATCCCAATCAGCCGAATTATAGTGCCAAACACGGTGGCAGCCTGCAGAATGCTACCGCGACGTTAATGTGACTGGAAACACACTCCAGAGAAGACAATGGCCCGACGAGCCTAAAGGGGCGTATTCGGAAACCTGATATCTGTTTGGATGAGAATTTAGCAGAACGTTCAACAGAGAAGGTGTATGATGTTTCACATCTGGGTTCCGTGTAGGCGCAGTAACCAGTTGTGTCAGACCATATCGACTGTGAACTGGCAACTGGTACTATCTCAATTTTGACAACTTTACAGGTGTAGAAAAAACTTGTTTGCATCATTAGTATAGCATCTGGTATATTAAATAAAAATACGTAGTTTCTGAATATTTTTATTGCACATGTTATTAAAAACAAAATTTGCAATATATGATTCCTTATAATATAAAAATGAGATAGGACATTATAAATCAACTAAAGAACGAACATAGGATATTTTTCTTGAAACAATAAGGCCTATCTTCAAAATCAAAATAGAAACAATAACGATAGGACATTATCAACTCAATATACTATATAATTAAATTAAGTTATTAACTTACAATATAATCGTTATTCATAATAGTCTTTATATTTCTGACATTATAGAAACATTATTAGGTGGGCAAGTCTACAAAGCCATTAGTGTAGGTGGGTGTCATTAACAATTGTTTTTTTTTTAACTTTTTATTCTCAATTTTAGAGGTTATCATTTCTTAGAGTAAATCAACGAAAGATTCAGATATCTTTTTCACTGGCCCATCTAAATTAATCGTATTGTATACAAACCCTATTTTATAAAAAATATAATAATTAAAAATTAAAGAATCTACAAAAATAACAAAATAAGGCTTGTTTTAAGCCACCTTTGCCTACAGTCCTACCTTAACTAGGCCAACCAACTGCATGCAGAAATGGCAAGAAGCTGATTCTTATTCTCTTTGCGATCAAAATTATTCCTGATAAGGCAAATTATCATAAAAGTTATGACACTCTTGAGGAATGACAGTTTTTAATTCTAGAAGGTGCAACCACTTCGTTTTAGAAATACGGCATCTTGATGTAAATAAGGTAGGGTAAGTGTTCGCTGGATGGAATCTCTTTGGTCTATGAGGTAAGTCCATCCAATCTTTGGTAAAATCAAGGTTCATCCTGATTAGTCCGGAAGGAACACTATGACTTTGATGTCTGTGACCATTGGATCATTTTTTTTCAACCAGGTCTAATGCTATTGTATCTCAAAGGTTTCGTGTAGTCTTTAAAAAATTCGTAAGTCAGCTCAATAACCTCGTACGGTGATGGATTTTTTCGTGCTTTGGTTATTGTTACGGTTTTGTGCTGTACATCCATCAGAAAATATTACAACTGGTTTTTTTATCAGAAGTGAGACATTTTTTTCTAAATAGTCAATCAAGCATGATACGAATGTTGATGCAACTAGTTGATTGTTTTGATCCTCTGAAAACCAATAACATGTAGCTTGCTTTTTTAAAACATCGTAAATTATCGAGTTATGACAAGCTAGCTTTGTTTTGTAATAAAAAGTATTAGCGTGGGTAAATGGAGCTAGCTTTACAGCTTGGAAATCTACTTTTATTAAAATAATTTTTCCCTCAATAGCTTTCTTTATATCCTCGCGTTTTTCCATTCTAGCTATCTCTTTATTCGCTGTGTGCTCCTTCCAAACTTCTTCTTGTACATTTTTAGTTTCATAACCGGCGCATAAGTTGCATTTATCTTTTTTTACACTAAATAATGGATTATTTTTTTCAACCATAACTTCACTAAATTTTTTGCAGCTGAAGGACGATTGCAATGCCTGAGTATACTTGTATTGTTTGAAAAACGGGTTCTAGATAGAGTTTTGTTGAATTATGTCTATTGTAATGGGACGGCATTTTTGGAAGATTAGCGAAAAAGTTATTTAGACACTAGATTTCTGATAAAAGGTTATTATTTGGTGTGATATTTTTATCTTTTGAAGTCATAGCTATTCCATGCGAGCTCTCACTTACCCTTGCTTGAACCATTCTATACCCAATACCAACCGTATTTATAAACGTTTCTCGACATACCTGATAGCTCTCTTGACCATTATTCAAACTATATTTGAGACTATAGTTGCGTCGAGAAACACTGTCAGTAGTACTAGCTTTCGTTGGAACACTAGAAACCGATCCACACACAAATGATTTGCGTTCTCCCCAAGTCAAACTCCAAAATCGGTCATAAATCGTTTTCCTCTGCTCTTCCGTAAATAATGAACAATGACGTTTTTTAGACTTTAAACAAACATTATTAGAACATGTTGGCTTCATTATTCGTTTTCTCTTGGTGTATCTTCTACAACACTTTTCCATTTTTTTTTAAAATTAAGTAAGCTTTTCCTTCCATTCGCAGTTTTTTGTTGATGTTTCTCTTCCACTCAGCCTGCTCAGCTTTCTTTCTTCTTTTCCTTCCTTCACACATATTATAATTATTGGGGTCATTCTCTGAAAATTTTCCTTGCACGTTTTCCGCTACTTGACCTGCACTATTTTCTACGGTATCATTTGTCGCTAAAATTGATGGCGACTCGGGAGATTCTTCGCTTGATGGTAGTGTGTTTCGAAGTGCGTTCAGTGGCGTATTTGGAGACGAACTTAATGACGAGCTGAGTGACATGTTTGGTTCATCTGAACAGGCTTCATCGTATATGTAATCATCATCTATGTTATGTTAAAAATCGAGTATGGCTGACTGGTAAGATGGCGAAGGAACGAACCGTGGAGATAAATAATCTGCAGGTAGAGAATCATAGTGTCCATATTTGGGTTTAAATTGTATGTCCTCAGTATAACAGGTGTCTTCCGTAAGCACTATTAAAGGGACTATTTTTTGCTGGTTAGACACGCTAAAAGGGACCGTTTCTGGCTGGTTATACATGGTAAAAGGGACTGTTTCGTGCTGGGTAGACACGGTAAAAGGGAGTGTTTCTTGCTGGTTAGACATGGTAAAAGGGCTTGTTTCTTGCTGGTTAGACATGGTAAAAGGTACTGTATTTTTCCGGCTAGACATATTCGTATGTTCAAAACCTGTGTTGATATCCTAAAATGTACTAAAGAAACCTATTAGATATAAAATAAGCCAATACCTCAGCAGATTTAGTTACGTACTAACACATTATTTATTTATTCCGTCACTTTCGTTTATTTTTTTGTTAAGTTCTATAATAATACAGATAAAAATCTCAAACCTTAGCATTTCCTTTATTTTTATCGCCTTAAGTACTTCCTGTATCAAGCGCTTACCACGTCTCAGCTTATTATACTCCTAAAAAGAGTAGGTATAGGTAAAAGTAGTAGCTAAATTGGTAGCAGAGCAGCGTATATCAAGACGGATAAATCGTTTGCAATTACAAATGATTTTTTACAATTGTTTATGCTATAATAAACCCAACCAAGCAAGTGGCTAGTTATTCAAGAGGCGGGTAGGTAGTAATAACCACATTCTGCAATTCTTATCCCGCAAGCCTATACGACGCGGCGGTTAAAGGGCAAGCAGTCCATGCTAATGGCAGTTGAATAATACAGTAATATCATAAAATTTTGCTAGATGCCTACTTATACCGGAACCGTGCATCTTAAAAGCATGTAATTCATCGTATACCTATATAAAGGTAAATCTAGCGAAAGTTTTTTGGTTGATGTTATCCTTAGTTGACTTTTAACTTTTGAAACTTTTAACGTCGATGCATTATGTACTATCTCGATTTATAGATTATTAACGTAGAAATATTAAATATTAATGATTGTTTTATAATGAAAACATACCATTTCAGCTACTAGTAGTCCACAATAATGATAACTAATAACTTATGGCACAGAAACCTAATAAATTTACATAAAACAGTTATTTGTTTCAAGAGCGCGCGAAATCGCGTTCATGTCCGTACACTTTTGGCGAGATAGTATTAAATGCTCGCATTCACTGCACGTCGAAGTTAGTACAATTTGAATGAAGTCGATTCTGGCGCCAAATTTTAACGTATTTGAGATGGGATTTATTACAGCGTGGCGGAGTATGAAATAGTATAAAATTGCATCAAAAAGTGAAATCGTCAAAAAATTGAGATAGGACCGGTTGCCAGTTCACAGTCGATATGCCAAAGCAAAGTCATAAACAGATATACACGCATGATCGGTTAAACGTGTACCGAGCCATTCGGCGAGGTGGGCGTTAAAATCGCCAAGGATCACGATTTCTGCGGATGAGATCTGCTATAGCACGGAGTCTATAGCCATTTGGACGTAGTCAATGAGTCAGTCTGTTTCGGTATTACCGCTATGGGAACTATAGAGGCTCCCGTAGACGCGGGGATGTTCGTCAAAGTTTTCCGATGCGTTGAAAATAGATGTCCTCTCTGACGTATACGCAAACTCCAGCCCAGTTCACAAAGGAATGTTATAATTTGTACCCCGGCTAGGAGATATATGAAACATCAGTTGGAGAGGACACCTGAGTCTCGGTAAAAAAGAGCAAGGCTAGTTTCGCCGAGTCTAGATAGTAGTGGACACCAATAAGGTTGGAAAAAAGTCCCCAGATGTTACAAAAATTCATAGATAGCGTCGCAGGGGTCACCTTGGTGTTGATGCAAGCTGAATTTTGCTCTCCCCCCAGAATACTCATCAATCAATTTACTCTGTAAGAGTATGATAGATAAGGATAGGATCTAGGTCGGGGATGCTTAGCGAGGGATTCTCCGTCACCAGGGGTGCTGGTGCCCTCCTGGGATAGTTGTTCACTTAATTCCACTATCAAGTTTACGTGGGGGGGGATTAGGCCTACGGCCACCTGCACTCACCAAGGGACAAGCAAACGTGCGTATTTTGGGAGGTCATAGTACCACCCTGGTTTGAGCCGGCCCATTCGTGCGACGCAAAAGCTGTGTAGTACGTAGCTCTACCACTGTTAAAACCTTTTGAACTTCTCTTCAGTGTAATGCCATTTTTTTCATGATAGATTTTCTAAGATATCGTTTCAATTAAATATTTGCAGCGGTAAGTAAAATTTTCACTTATTGTAAGAATTATGTTTGACTAATGGTGTAGTTTTAAAAAGCTTTTATTTAACTTTTAGTGTTTTTTTTGTTAGGGTCAAATCTTGCACCTTAAGGTGGCACAAGTCGCGGGCTCGAACTCATTGGTGGGCGCGGACAAAAAGCACGTTGTCTCACCTGGCATCGTGCCCGACAGAGATAGTATCAGTGAAGAGCAGTTAGAACGCACGTCTTGTTCGTACGGCGCTCCGAACCGTTAGAACAAAAACGAAGTTACACGAACACGATGCACACATACATACCACCCTATTCTGTGCCGCTCGACGCTTGCTGAGAAATCAGCAGTACCTACCTACAAACTCGTACTAAATTATTAGGTGCTGCGTTATCGCTTTATACTATACCTCTATGGCTCTATAGATACCTAATATAGATTGCTTATTTTATTATGTTTTGTTTTCCCCGGGTGGTCATGCAGCGATCACTCAAGAGTTCACGACGCCGAAGCATGAACTGGAACAGTCATCGCAGTTTATATCCGTACTAGCTGTTGCCAGCGGTTTCAAACGCGTGAACTCGAAAATTATCACACAGGAACGAAATACCTGAATAAACGGTATCAAATGTGTTATTCCAGACCAGGTATAACCTATCTCTGAGCTAAATATCATCCAGATCCCTTCAGCTGTGATTGAGTAACATACATCTATCCATCCAAACTTTCTCATTTATAATATTTAGATAATAATTGTAATTAGTTCTGCCTACCTATAAATTGTCTTCAAAAATACTTACCTGTCTTCTTACTTTGTTTTATATACACACAATATCACTAGATGTAAACACATGTTTTTATCAAGACAAGTGACCCGTCAAGACTGTTTCCTTAGTACCGACGTACTTAGCCAGGTAGGTAGGCAGTTTAGATTTTAGTGTCCAAGACGCAGCGACAGTTTGCCAAATTTTGTTATATAGGTTGTGGGTATCTAGGTAATAACAGTAGGTAGACTACCTATCCACCGTCCACGCCGCGCAAGTGATTCTCGTCCCACCTGTCCGCGCAGTAACTTTTTTTACGACCGCGCGAGACTGTCGCAACAAAAACGATTACTACCGAAAAACTAAATAGGTACCTACCTAACATTCAAATAAAAATATTCTCAAAAAGCTCAACGAATTCAGAATTTAATTTTGTTAAAAGAAAATTGGTCAAATAAAAAATAAAGGATGAAAATAAAGCATATGGGAATATAAAAATAAATCGTATTTATTTGTTACTTATTTCGAGTTTTACAAGAAAAGTATAATATTTATTGGAGACAATTATTTTATTATTATAATAGTACATGATATTATCTTTAAAATGACACCAATATGAATAATATCTTATATCTATATCTACAAATAAATAAAATTGAAGTGTCTGTTTGTAATGTTAAAATAACAGCTTTTTATTAAATGAATATGAAAGTACTATTTTTGTCTGTCTGTCGGTCTGTCTGTCTGTCTGTTTGTTCCAGCTAATCTCCGAAAAAGCTGGATCTATTTTGACGGGACCTTCACTGGCAGATAGCTGATGATATAAGGAATAACTTGAACTACTTTTGTTTTAGAAAAAGAATTAGGGTTCCGCGCAAAAAAATTAAAACCCATGAAATCCATATTCCACGCGGGCTAGATCGCGGGGGAAAACTAGTACTCAATATAGATAAATGTATACTTATTTTTATTTATTTATTATTTTAATAAATAATCCATCCAATATTTTTTGAAAGAGATGAAAGTAAAACGATATGTGAAATAAGAATAGAAGGGGAGTTGATCGAGCAAGTAGATGAGTTTGTATATTTGGGTTGCGTATTTAGCAGGGATGGGAGATATGATAAGGATATAGAACGACGAGTGAATGCAGGAAACAGAGTAAATGGAGCCCTGCACTCTATTGTGAAGAGTCAAAATGTGTCGAAAAAGGCACGTATGGCAATTAACAATGCTGTGTTGGTCCCTACATTAACGTATGCTAGTGAAAGTTGGGTGTGGCAGAAGAAGCACGAGAGTAGAATAAATGCAGTAGAAATGCGGTCGTTAAGGAGTATGCTAGGGCTGAATTTGAATGACAGGGTGAAAAATTGTGTGATAAGAGAAGAGTGTGGTTTGCAAGATGATGTTGTGACCAGGATTAAGAAAGGAATGCTTCGGTGGTTTGGTCATGTGGAAAGAATGGATGAGGAAAGAGTGACAAAGAAAATTTATGTTGCAGAAGTGAATGGCAGAGTCGGAAAGGGACGTCCTAGGCGAAAATTTATCGACCAAATTGGCGATTTATTGAAAACGGGCCAAATTAGGAGTACCCTTAACCGACGAGCATGCATGCGTAGGTGTATGGATGTGAAGGAGGCAAGAGAGGTGTGTCAGGATCGTGCCAAATGGAAGTCTGTAGTCTCTGCCTACCCCTCTGGGTGACAGGCGTGAGTGTTTATGTTATGTTATGTTATGTTTAATAAATAAATAAAAATAAGTATTAATAATTTCTAGACACATCTCAACAGATATTTCGTTTATAAATTGCTATAAATATTGAAGCATTCTTTTATATTTAGCATCCATTTAACACAAAGCTGATAGG